AACCTACCTCGAACTTGCACCTCGGTCCGACCGTATCCATCCCACCTCCAGGGTGTGAGCGAGCTTGTGGCGCGAATCAGCAGAGGGCCAGTTGAGGCACTGGCGGTGAACCCCCCCCGCCCACATGCCCTTGACCTCAAGCCCAGACCCTCTTACGAGGCACAGTTGGGGCATTGACCTAAGGAACCCTCAATAAGGAACGAGGCCCCTCTTTTCCATAAGTTGAACTTCGAGGCCCTATCAAAAACCTAAGAACAACCGAAGGCAAATTGGGAAACTATGAAAAAAACACAGAGCCCCTCCCCAACGCAAAGGGTTCCTTTCTCAGCGCCCCGACTGCGAATCCTGACACGTCTTCGGCCGCGGATCTGGGGTCAAGTCGGGCATGTCCCCCTACAGGGGGATTTGGGGCAAACAAAAAAGATGCTAACAATATGCAAGAATAGTCAAAACATGGTCAAAAATTCGTTCCCCGACTTTTTCTTTACCGTTTTTGTATTTGTCTCCTGTAGAGGGACGTGCCCGACTTGAGTCTGGGGCAGGGACGACGAGAAACGAGGCGCAGCACGCCAGAGGGAGCGCCTGCGCGGCCGCGATACTGGCCCTCCTCCGCGCACGGGCCTGGCGCGAAAACCCCCCGCCCCAAGACAGGGCCGCGGTTTCACCGCTTCCACTTTGGCGTTCTTGTTGACAGTCCCGACGCCGTTTTTCTCAGTGCCTCCGTCGCCGTCGTTGTGCCCCGGCGCCGGTTCCAGTCCCGGAGCCGTGTGTGTTCCCGTTTCGAGTCGCCGATTCCTTGCCGCTTCCACTTCCGGGAAACAGTTGATTCCGGGGCCCGCTGAGTTCTGGCCCCTTCCCGAGGATCCCGCCATGGCTCAGATGTTCATTCTCCCCGTGCAGCTTTAGGTCTCGTGCGTGTCTTTAGTAATCCGCAGCTTGATCCAGGATGCTCCTCGCTGGTTCCCGCCGAGAGAAGATGCACCCGTCCGAGCGATCGGCTTCCGGTCACGACCCGCTTCTGACGACCCCAAACCCCGATGAGGGACCCTGGAGGCGGAAGACTGGCCAGGCCCCTCCCTCATGTTGCGCTTCACGACGCGAAATGATTTCGCTTCGTGAAGCGCAGCACTTTTCGGACGATTCGCGTCGCTGCCTCCCTCCCTCGTGCTGCACACCTCACGACGCGAAATGATTTCACGACGCGAAGCGATTTCGCGTCGCGACGATTTAATCGTCGGGCGATGCTGATCTTCTCGAGCCGGGAAAGAGAAGGAGGGGGCAGCAAAACGGGTGGTAGCGCATCGGCTTCGGGGAGATCGGCTGACCCTGGTCAAGACAGACCTGGGTCCGTCGGGCCCTGCGAGATCATGCAGACTTCTCGCAGGATCCTGCAGGATCCTGCACGCAAGCTCTGGCCAGTGCGCCCCTGGCACTGCAGGATCCTCCAAAGTCCGGCGCTCTGGCTGACCTCCGTTTGTTTTGATCCCAGTCTATTGAGCCCGGGCGGCTCACACAGCTCCGGCGCCGCGAAGCGCCAATACAGTGGAGGCTAGTCGGCAAGAAGCCTTCCACAAGAAAACCAACCCTGAGACCCCAGGACGTCAATTCATTTGTGGAGTATGCACGTCACGCTGTCCGCACCAGGACCATAGAAACCCAAAAAGCCAAAGGCACCCTGGAGGCAAGCAGGGTGTTTCTTGGCATGGGCCCCCACTGTATCCAGTGCGTCTTTGGACTGTTCGGGGATCTTCCGACCCGGGTCAATCCAAACCCGGGTCGGCCGAAAACCAAAAACTGCAATGCAGGAAAAAAACTGCAACGCAGGCCTTCGCAAACCCGGGTCAGCCAATAGGCGCGGCCGCCTCGCGGCCACGAACGGCTCGCTAACCCGGGTCAGCCGGAGGGGGTCTTCGCAGGATCCTGCAGGATCCGGCACCCTGGCTGACCCCCGTCTGCACGGACCCCCGTCTGGAGGCTCCCGAAGACTGTCTTGGCAGGGGCGCCACCGGACCGACTCGCGCTGGGTACGGTGGGGATAAACATTGAGCCCCCAGAGGGTAAACTTTGACCCCTACTTTTTAGTCAGCGGCCGCGAGCGAGCGCGCCAGCGGCGAGTCAGGTCAAAGCGGGCTACGCAGAGACTAGATAGGCAGAGGCGACGCGCAAGGCAACAGCAACAAGGCAAGCCGAGGCCTCACGCAGCGGCCCATCCAAAGAACAAAAAAAATGTTACCCCCACGCGGTGCGCCTCGGGTTCCTGCGGAGGGGAGCCGGAACTCCAAGCGGCAACATGGCATGGACACAAGTCTTGCCCGCATTTCGTCTGACCCGATCTTCGGACCAGATCCGACCCGATCTCTCGACGCCCGCCGTCCGACCCGATCTTCCCCTTCCTTACACTTTCGTACAGCCCGGTCCCCTTCCTTCCCTTTCGCATCTCCCCCTTTCCCTTTCTCCCCCTGAGACCCGACGTTGCGAAGACACTGCAAAAAAACGCGAAACTGCGCCAAATTTCAAACCGGGCCGATCCGTGTAGCATGGGTAAAATCGGGGGCGCGCGAACACGGATTAGCGATGCATGGATGTAGCGCGCGGTCGCCAAATCCATGCATCGGGGGTAGCGCCCTCCCCAAAATGCGGCCAGTGCCGCCTCGCCTGGCGGCGGAGATCCGCGATTTCCAATGGAATAGAGACCCTGCGCTAATCCACGCCGCCTTGATCCATGCTTGCGATCGCCTGGTAAAGCGGGTACGGGAAACGGGTCCTGGACCCCCTGGCCCTCACCCGGGACGTGCTCTCCCTCCCGAATCGTCTTCTGACAGTCCTGGGGCCCGCAGAAGGGCTCTGGGAAGCCAAAACAAAACTGCGAAGAACCTCAGGACTGGAGGCCTCCTAGGTGGGGTCCGAGTAGATGGGGCGGAAGCATGGCGCCGCAGCGCCAACGCATCGCCAACGCATCGCCGATGTATCGCCCATGCATCGCCGACGTCGGCGATGCATGGGCGACGTCGGCGTGGATAGAGTAGGGCTCCGCATCGATCCGCATCGCCGATGCAGCGGCGCTGCGGCGCGATCCTCCGACCCCATCTACGTCGGGTGACCCAGAAGGGGGTCCAGCTGCAAGGGGGTGGTGCAACAGAGTTGAGGCAACGTTCGCTTGCAAATGTATTGCGCCTGATAATTGTATCGCATTGTATTGCAACTCGTGCATTGCACGCGAAAATCCAGCAATACATCTGCGCCTCGGAATGCATTGCACGCCCCAAATGTACTGCAACCCTACAAATCTATTCTCGAGCGCGAGAGATACCCGTACCCTTACCTAGACAGGGTGGCAAGGGGCCGGGGGGGCGGTTCGTCGCAGCTGACGGCGGCTGCACAAGTGTAGAAACGACATCCGATCGAGCATTACAGACCGCTGTCTTCTCGGGGCGCACGTTGGCACCGATCGCACGTGCGTTCGAATCGGCGGAGTGCCCGACCCTGCGTTGGTTGTTGTCGATGTAGACCAGCTACTACGAAGGCGCGCCCCCAGACACACATCCGGGCGTTGAGGAGTCAACGCGCACTCGGGGGCGCATGCGAACAACTCTGGCGCGAACGTCATTGCGCGACAACCGCCCTATCGCGAATTGCTCGATGCAGAGACATCGCGAATCTGTGCCCTGGGCGAGGTCGCCAGAGGCCGCCCCCCTTGGACGGCCGTCCGCGGATCACCCCGGCTAGGTACGGTTGCCCCATGAAAACCCAAAAACATACCCGTACCTAGCCGGGGTGCCGCAGCTCACCCCAGCTAGGTCCGGGTATGTTTCGGTGGTTTCAGGCAGGCCCCCGTACCTAGCCGAGGTGGCGGCAGGCCCAAAACGTTCTCGAGCACATATCATGCCCTCCAGAACCGTCCCCGACGTGGCCGCTGCGGCCCCCTGGGGGCGCGACGTTGCAACGTCGTTCCTCAGGGCAGTCCCAGACGCATTGGTTGCCAGGATAGCGAGGAAATTCAACTCTTTATCGATTGGGACAGGCGCCGCCACATATGGGCGGCTTTGAACCGCGCGCGCACCACCATGCCCCGAGACGTCCCTAACAAAAACCAGCGCTTGTCGCTGCAATCAAACACCCAACCATCGAGCGCGCCGTTGCGTCTTGACGCGCGGATGCTGCACTGGCGCGCGCGGGGCAAGCTAACCGGGCACAATAGCAAACGCCCAGTCCCCCGGAAGGCCCATCTCACCTTGGCTGGCCCCGGGTACGGGTATCTTTCGGACCAATGATCTATGGCACCAAACCAATTGCACCACCCCCATGTCGCTGGACCCCCTTTTGGGTCAACCCGATCGGCTCCGACCCCATCCAGGAGGCCTGGAAAGACCCGTTTCCCTCATGTTGAGCAGGGACCGACCGTCCCGGCATTCCTATAGTCCTACCACGAACTGCTCGTAGAACCCAAACATATTCTAATAACAAAACCAGTGTCCTTAGAACAGAATCCCGATGCGGTAGAACAAGACGGCCCCAGCCAGAAATGTTCAACAGATCGTGGAAACCATAGCGCAAGTTCTTGGAACATTCTTTTGGCAGGCCCACAGGCGAGCCAGGACGCTTCGCCACTGCCGGATCATGGCCATCCGCGACGGCCCGGGGGCTCGCCGTCGCTCGGACGTCCCTTCCCCGTGCACGTTTCGGCCTCCTGCGCTTTATTTTTATACCCGAGGGTCGAGTATGCTCCTCCTAGGGCTCCCAACTTCGCGCTCCGCGAAGCGCGAAGCGCGAGTAACGTCGCGCGCTCTCGCGCCGCCCCCCCAGAAGGGAGAGAAGGAGGACGAGGAGGAGGGGGAGCAGGAACGAGGCCCGCGAGGCGCGCAGCGCGACGAGCTCCGCGCCCTCGTGGGGGCCCTCGCCCTCGAGGGCCCCCTCGCCGAGACTGCACGCACTCGTCCGAGCGATGCCAAGGGCCTGGCCCGCCCCCTCTGACGCGCGCCGCTGCACGGGCGGCGCCGCGCCTCCGCCCGCTGCCGCATCTGCCCCAGGAAGTGGGCCCTGCCAGGGCAGCAGAGAGAGAGCTGCGGTCGGCCCCGATTGGACAGGGCACGCGAGAGGACACGAGGCCCTTCCGAGGGCCACAATCGCCAGAGAAGTGCAAGGAGGCACGTGTCGCGAGGCACGGGACACGAGGGTACCCTTGAGCTGGCAAGGTCGACCTATACTAATCCGGGCCGACTGTAGGTCGGGCATGTCCTCCTACAGGCGGAGCTTGGACGAACAAAAAACAGAAAACAACAAATTTACCCCCCCCTAAACAAAAAAAGAAAAAGCTCAAACATGGTCAAGAGAATAGTCCCCAGGCTGTGTTTAACCTATTCTTGAATATTCCCCCCTGTAGAGGGACAGGCCCGACTTGAAACAAGAGGCGCCCCGACGAGCGAAGCCGTCCAGTCCAGTAGGCGCTCGACCGCAGGGAACCTTCCACAGGAAACCCGCCCCTGGGACGCCAGGGCGTCCGCTGATTTCTGGTGTGGGGACGACACGCATAGCAGAACCATCGGAACCCGAGGAACCCCGGGCACCCTGGAGGCCAGCAGGGTGTTTCTTGGCATGAGCGTCCACTGTAGACGCACCCAGTGGAGGAGTCGAACAGGGCAGGGCTGCTCAGCAAACGCCCAGGGTCACTTCGTAGACGCCGAGCATCGGCGACTCCGAAGGGTGTGGTTTACGAAGGGTGCGGCTTGCAACCGGCACCCTGGGGGGCACCCTGGAGGGCGGGCGAGGACTTCGACAGAGCTCTCCGCCGCGCCCCGAGGAGGTCCGACGAGGACAGTGCCATGCTCCCCAGGCCCCGACGGCGCCGATCGCAAACCACACCCCGGCGGAACCACGCCCGTTAGCAGTCGCCCAACTCATTGGGGTCGGGATGGTTCTTCCTCCCTTGACCTGAGCCCGCCCGCGCTGATCCTCGAGGCCAGCTCCCCGGCGGCGCCCGCGAGGGCGGCCTCTAGCCCGGCGCGCCCGCCTGCTCACACGGGGGGGGGTAGTGCGGCGAGACCTGAACGTCTACTTTCGGCGGCCAGCCTGGGAGGGGGGAAGTGAGAGGGGGCGGGCCTTCTCAGAAGGCCCGGAAGTCCCCTGGCCTTTCGGGCGGTCTGCCGAGCCGTCCCCGAAGACGCAAACAGCTACCCAGAAGGCCCGAGGGCTTTCGAGAAGCTCCGCCGCCTGCTGAGAAAACCTTGTTTTTTCTCGCTTCCCCCCCTCGCTCGCCGGCGGTACATCTCCGCTGCTCCTGGCCAGGCCCACCCTGGGCCAAGAAGCGAGGTGCACGCCCTCCTCGCTTGGCCAGGAGGGCACAGACACAGCTCCTGGGCCAAGACTGGGCCTGGCCAGGGGTCAAGGGATATGGGTAGTTCTCGTCACTCCCTCGTCCACATCCGCCTCCTTCTCCTAATCACCCATTTCTCCTCGTCGACATCGTCTCCTCGTCCTCGTCCCCCTCGTCCACGTCCTCTTCATCCTCCTTTTCATCCTCCTCCTCCTCCTCCTCCACCTCCTCCTCCGCCTCGTGCTCCTCCTCCTCCTCCTCCTCCTCCTCCTCCTCCACCTCCCCTCCTCCTCCTCCTCCTCCTTTTCCTCCCCCTCCTCCTCCTCCTCCTCCTCCCCTCCTCCTCCTCCTCCTCCTCCTCCTCCTCAGAGGCGCGAGGGATGCAGAAGGGCTGCCGGCATGAGGAACGATAAGTATGGAACGAAGCCCTTTCTTGGCCCCAGAAGCCACTGAATGCACGAAGAAAACACGAGGAACAACCACGGAATAACCCCAGAAAGAGCGAGCCTCTTCCGAACCCAAAGAGGTCCTTACCTCAGCGTTTTAGCTGTATGCGAAAATCGGTATACGCGTGCCTGCGGTCTGGATTCTGGGGCCCGCACGGATACGTTCCGCGCAGGATATCCGCGAAACGGTGCCCCCGAATCCGCGAGGTCGCAGCCCGGGAACCCGGCCCGCGAGGCCGCGGATACGGATGTCGAAGAAGCTCCCCGCCCACGAGGATCAGCCAGAGTGATGATACTCCTTCGTCGTGTCTGCTGAAGAACATGTTGGAGGCCTCGCGCGGCAAACTGAGTTCCGATTCGGGGAAGAGCTACGTCGGATGTGCGTCGGGCGTACGCCGGATTGCGTGGGAATGCGTCGGACACACGTCGGAGCATCGCCGCGCGAACGTCGCCCAAGATCTGACGGGGCGGGCGTGCGGACGAGATCAGACAGCTATATTGCGCGCCGCGCGAAGCCTCCAACATGTTCCTCGTAGCCTACGTTCTCGTATGTACCTTACGCGTCCCGTGGAGTAGTTGCCACCGCCAGGGAACAAAAACAATGTGCGAACACGTACGTGCGCTGGCGACGAAGTATCATGCCGATGCACGACGACCACAGGCGCCGTCCCCACAATAACGACCACCATGTTTGTAGGCGACTGCGTGGAGAATCCCACCAGCTTTCTGGGCGTAGGTGGTCTAGAGAAGCTCCTCTTCCAACCCTCTTTTTCCCCCTCGTGGGGGGGGGACCCCTCCCCCATACCCCCTCCCCTGGACCTGGACGGGGCGCCCCGCGAGCGACCAGAGCACCCAAGATGGCTCAAGACGGCTCCAAGAGGGCCTCAGAAAGCCAACTATTACCCCCAAAACGGCACAGATGCCTCAAGATGGCTCCCAAGATGGTCCGAGGGGCCCCAAGACCGTTCCAAGACGGTTCCAAGTGGCCACGGAGCGTCTCACGGAGGCCGCCAAGCCACAACCAGTTCAAAACCCAAAGAAAATCAATCAATGTTGCCTTCGCGCCGTTTTGCTGTCAAGAGAGCTCCAAAGAATCCCAAAAGAGGCTCGTGAGAGCCCCAATACGGCCCCAAGCGCGCACAAGAGGGCCCCAAGAAGGGTCCAAGAGACGATTATGGCACCCTAGACGGGCAAGGCTACTTGAAGTTCTCCCATTACTTAACCGATGTCCTCCAAGATGGCCCATAAACGTCCCCAAGCCTCCCCAAAGCGCCCCACGAGGGCCCAAAGAGGCGCCAAGGATGCCCTAGGAGACGCCCGAGATGCGTCCGAGAGGCTCCCAAGAAGGGAACCCCAAGAGGCCCCAAGGGGGCTCTCCAAGGTACGAAAGAGGCCCCCGGGACCGCCAAGAGACCCCAAGACGCCCCAAGAAGCCTCCAAGTTCGTCATCGTCCTCCCACAAAGAGGGCCCAAGAGGCCCCCTGAACGGCCCCTGAGAGGCCTCAAAACTGTTTCCAAGAGGACCCCGAAAAGGCCCACCACGATATCCAAACGAACATCCAAGAGGCCTCTGACCGACAAACCAAGCACGGTGGCGGGATGGGCTGAAGGCCACTCTAGATATCTATATATATATATATGTATGTATATACACATATATATATATATACACCCATCTGCGTGTGTATATATATATGTATCAGAATAAGGGGGCCGAACGGTCAGTCGATGTCCCTGCGTGCGTGGCTGTATAACGAATTCGTGCGCTGTACTGGGTGTGGCGGACGCATGTGGCCACCGCCACTAGGGCCTTGGGTGGAGCTCTCTATGGGGCGACGAAACGCTGTACTGTGTGTGGCGGTTGCATGTTGTCACCCCCACAGGGCCCTTGGGTGGAGCTCCCCATGGGGCCACCAAACGCTGTACTGGGTGTGACGGACGCATGTGGCCACCCCCACTGGGGCCTTACGTGGAGCTCCCCATGGGGCCACGAAACGCTGTACTGGGTGTGATGGTGGTGGTGATGATGCTGCTGATGATGATGATGATGCTGATGATGGATGATGATGCTGATGATGCTGATAACGATGGAAATGTGAAGATGAAGATGCTGATGCTGAAGATGATGATGCTGATGCTGTAGCTGATGCTGATGATGCTGCTGATGCTGATGCTGCTGATGATGATTGTGATGATGATGGTGATGATGATGCTGATGATGGTGATGCTGAGGTTGATGATCATGATGATGATGGTGATAATGATGATGATGGTGGAAAAAGGGAGGAGAGGGAGGAGGAAGGAACGCGGGACGCTGTCTCTTCAAAACGAAAACCCAACACCACAGGATGGTTGGAAAAAAAAGAAAAAAGGGAAGGGAGGAAGCAAGAGAGGGAGGGAGAGAGGCGGAGAGTGAGGCCGGGAAGGGCGAGGAGGTGCAGAAAGAGGGAGGCGAGGACGGGAAGGAGGGGTGGGGGAGAGGGGGGGAAGAGGGGATGCGGAGGAGGGGGGGGAGAAGACCTCCTTAGGGCGAGGCGAGCCTGAGGGGGGGGGGAAACCGCCCCGCGCCACGCTCACACCTCTTCCACCCCGCCCTCGCCCTGCTCCCCAATTTCCGCCACGCCCTCGCCCTCGCCGTCCTTCTCCTCCTCCCCCTCCTCCTCCTCCTCCTCCTCCTCCTGCTCCTCCTCCTCCTTCCTCCTCCTTCTTCTCCTCCTCATCCTCCTCCTCCTCCTCCTCCTCCTCCTCCTCCTCCTCTTTCTCCTCTTCCTCCTCCTCCTCCTCCTCCTCCTCCTCCTCTTCCTCCTCCTCCTCCTCGAATGGAGGCCTCCCAAATAGAGTCCGAGCATACGGGGTCAGCGGATCGCGCCGCACCGCCGATGCACCGGCGACGCAGCGGTGACGTCAGCGATGCATCGGCGATGTTGGCGTCGAGAGAACTGGGCTCCGCATCGAACTGCGTCGCCAATGCATCGGCGATCGGCGATGCGTGGCACGATCCTCCGCCACCACCTGCTGGGACTCCATCTGGGAGGCCCGGATCAAAATGCCCACCCACCGCCCGGCCCACCCTTCTCGTCCACCCACCCCTATCCGCCACGTCGCCGATAGATCGCCGATAGGCCCCATGACGAATCCGAACGTTCCTGGGCGGGGTGGGGCTATCGGGCTCATATCCACGATCGATGGGCGATTGGTGGCCGATGTCTCCCCCCCCCGAGAAAAGCTCACCCACCAGACGGCCACCCGACCACCCGACCGCCCCGCCGATCGCGCGCGCGCCTTCTCTCCCGGCGACAGCAGCGCCGCCCACGCCGCCGCCGTAGCGCTCGGGCACCACGGGCTTCGTGACGGCCTCCACTGGCGGGAGAGGGCCCGCCAGCCCGGGCGGGTTGGCCGCAGCTGGCGGCGACAGCGCCGGCACCAGCCAGACGCGACGGCAACGGCGACGGCAGCAGATTCGACGACGTGATGTTTTCGATGCGGGCGCTGTCCCTCCATCTCGGCCCCCCTTGTGGGCCCCCCTTGTGGGGCCCGCAAGGGGGGCCGATGCTGGGCGAAACCCTGGCCACAGAACTGGATCCTGGGCGAAACCCGGGCCACTCCTCCTCCACCTCCTCGTCCCCTCCTCCTCCTCCTCCTCCTCCTTCTCCTTCTCCTCCTCCTCCTCTTCTTCCTTCCTGATCCCTTCGCCTCCTCCTTCTCCGCCTCCTCCTCCTTCCTGATCCCTTCGCGTCCTCCTCCTCCTCCTCCTCCTCCTCCTTCTCCTTCCCCCACTCCTCCTCCTCCTCCTCCTCCTCCTCCTCCTCCTCCTCCTCCTCCTCCTCTCCTCCTCCTCTCTTCCTTCCTGATTCCTTCGCCTCCTCCTCCTCCTCCCCCTCCTCCCTCCTCCTCCTCCTCCTCCTCCTCCTCCTCCTCTCCTCCTCCTCCTCCTTCCTCCTCCCCCTCCCCCTCCTCCGCCTCCGCCTCCTCCTCCTCCTCCTCCTCCTCCTCCTCCTCCTCCTCCTCCTCCTCCTCCTCCTCCTCCTCCTCCTCCTCCTCCTCCTCCCCCCTCCCCCTCCTCCTTCTCCTCCTCGTCCTTCGTTGCCACGTTGACTCAAGTGAGCAGGCCGCGGCGGGGCATGCGGGTCGCGCGCAGGAGGCCGCGAATGCCCCCCCCAAGGGGGGCCGATGCTGGGCTGCGGCCGGCGCTCGGACCATGGCGGCGTCGCCGGGAGCGACGCCGCGAGCTGGGGAAGATCGCGTCGAGACATTGAGAGCCTCGCTGGCAGACCAGAGCTGGGTCGAATCGCAGAATCGGAGCGGATCGGAAACAGATCGGGTCGCCAGCGAACCGTTCCGCAGCGAATCGAAATCGAACCGCCGCGCCGCGCTTCCGGCTGGCCCTGGCCGGTGCCGGTGAATAGAGCCAGACCGCGCATCGAATTGGAATCGCGGCCCCAGCCTGCGAATCGAATCGCACCGAATCGGATCGTAGGCGGCCCTGGTGGCGCACTTGCGCCTAGGAGATGCAGTCGGCTGGCACTTGCCCCTAATGTTAGGTCGAGCATGTCCCCCATACAGGCGGATTTTGGACGAAAAATAAAGATAGCACACAAAAGAGTCCCAAAGTGTCAAAACTGGTCAAAAATCATCCCCAGACTACTGTTTGACTACTTTTGGATATTCCTCCTGTGGAGGGACATGCCCGACGCAGCCCTAATGGGGGCCGCGGTGGCGGCGGCCCGTCCTCCTCCTCCTCCTCCTCCTCCTCCTCCTCCTCCTCCTCCTCCTCCTCCTCCTCCTCCTCCTCCCCCTCCTCCTCCTCCTCCTCCTCCTCCTCCTCCTCCACTCCTCCTCCTCCTCCTCCTCCACACTCACTTACTTACTCTCACTCACTCACTCACTCACTCACTCACTCACTCACTCACTCACTCACTCACTCACACTCACCTCACTCACTCACTTCCTCCTCCTCCTCCTCCTCCTCCTCCTCCTCCTCCTCCTCCTCCTCCTCCTCCTCCTCCTCCTCCTCCTCCCTCCTCCCTCCTCCTCCTCCTCCTCCTCCAACTCCTCCTCCTCCTCCTCCTCCACTCACTTACTTACTTACTCAATCACTCACTCACTCACTCACTCACTCACTCACTCACTCACTCACTCACTCACTCACTCACTCACTCACTTCACTCCCTCCTCCTCCTCCTCCTCCTCCTCCTCCTCCTCCTCCTCCAACTCCTCCTCCTCCTCCTCCTCACACTCACTTACTCACTCACTCACACTCTCACTCACTCACTCTCACTCACTCACTCACTCACTCCTCACTCACTCACTCACTCCTCCTCCTCCTCCTCCTCCTCCTCCTCCTCCTCCTCCTCCTCCTCCTCCTCCTCCTCCTCCTCCTCCTCCTCCCTCCTCCTCCTCCTCCTCCTCCTCCTCCTCCTCCTCCTCCTCCTCCTCCTCCTCCCCCCCCCCTCCTCCTCCTCCTCCTCCTCCTCCTCCTCGCCCCTCGCTGCCATATGGACTCGAGTGAGCAGGCCGCGGCGGGGCGTGCGGGTCGCGCGCCAGAGGCCGCGGACGCCCCCAAGGGGGGACCCTAATGCACGGCGGCCTCGCCGGGCGCGGCGCCGCGGGCCGGGGCGGCCGAGCGCGGCGGCGCCGGCGCGCCGCTTCGAGACCTCGAGCGCAGGAGAAGGAGGAGGAGGAGGAGGAGGAGGAGGCGGAGGAAAGGATGGAGGAGGGAGCAAGGAGGGAAAGACGAAGGATGGCAGGTGCGGTCGGCTGCCACTTGCCCCTAAGAGGGGGCCGCGGTGGCGGCGGCCCGTCTCCTGGGCTTGGGCCAGGGGCGCCGACGGGGCGGAGGAGCTGCTGGCCCTGGGCAGCACGGCGCGCCGTGCTGCGCCCCCTCCGAGAGCAGCAGGCGGACGGGTGCCGCGGCCTGCGGGCGTCAGCGCTGCTGTGCTCGAGGAGTGGCTGGCGGCCAAGATCGGGGGCGGCCCAGAGGGGGGCGTCCAAGAAGGGGGGACCCAAATCATGGCCTGCGGCATGTGCGCGGCCCAGGGGGGGGGTGGGGGGCATTGAAAAAAGAAGAGGCGCCATGGAATCTGGAAAAATATCATGGCCCTCGCCATCACATTCCCCCCCACCTAGTACCTAGTCATCATCCCCCTCTTGCCCGCCCCCGCCAGAGACCTTCTCTTCGCGCCAGGGCTGCCGAGTTCGTCCCCCCGGCTCCTGGGGACTGGAGCGGCAGCGTGAAGGAGTTCGAGGAGGGCAAATTCCCGCCGCCGAGTCCTTCGGGTTCGGCAAGAGTGGAGCGGGCTCGATGAAGAAGTCCCGTCAAGGTCTCTTCGAAGTCCTTCGGATTCGGGAAGGTCGGAGCGGGACGGAGGGGATGTTCTTCGAGCTCTCTGTCATGTCCATCGAGTTCGGCAAGTAGAGCTGGACAGTGGATCAAGGCCTTCGAGATCGCAGATCTGCCACGCGCACGAGGAGCAGTCTCCCGAGGACACGGTCGACCTTGAGAGGCTCGACGGGCGGCAGCGGCGTATGGGGAACCTCGTGATCGAGGCGGAGAGGTCCACTTCGGAGATCCTCGACGCGATCAAGGGCGGACTGTGCCCAGAGTGACTGTCCTCGCGGCTCCACCCCTGCGAGAAGCCGCCACCACATGAGGGTGGCGATGATGTCTTCTATTGCGAGCTGTGCCGCGACGGCATAGCGCACGGCGCCGCGATGGTCATGTGAGAGTCGATAAGGAGTGCTGGCGGGAGCAGCTCGACTGGACGAGGGGCATTCGGTGCCTGACGAGCTCTGCGTGAGGCTTGTGTCGGGGGCACTCTTCGACCTCCTCCGGTGGTGCTCCCGGCTCGGGGCTCCCGCGCTCACCGCTGGTGCGCCGAGTGGTTGGCGCAGGCTCGGGGTGCTTCAGACACGACGGACGTCCGCGCGGACTCCTCCTCCAGAGGAACCCAAACAAGCAGACGCAGAAACTGCCGGAGGCCCGTGCGGACATCCTGGATCCTGGATCGGCACGGGCCGCCCCCCTCCCTCTGGCCATCGCTCGGACGTCCATTCCGTGTGCTATTTTCGGTTTCGTGCGTGGTTTTTTCGGCAAACTATCGAGGATGCTCCTCGATGGCCCTCGCCGGAGGAAAAAAATGCACACGTCCGAGCGATGCCAAGAAATCAGCAGACGCAGAAACTTCCGGAGGCCCGTGCGGACAGCCTGGATCGGCACGGGGCCGCCCCCCTCCCTGGCGCGCGGCGCCGATCCGGGCAGTGCGCGCGGGCCTCCGAGATCTGTGTTCATGTCACTGTCTGTTCGGAGGCGGCCAGGAGGGGGGCGTCCAAGAGGGGGGCGAGCAACTCACTGAAGGGGCCCCAGGACACACAAAGAAATACACACAAATAAAAAGATTCCCCATATTTTCCCACATGTTCTGGGTTTCTGTCTTCCCCCCCACTTCCCATATTTTCCTACAATTTCTGGGGAATCGAGGATGACTTGTGTCTGTGTGTTGTTATCTCTCCTCACTCATGGCCGGCGGCATGTGCGCATGTGCGCGGTCCAGGGGGGGGGGGCAGGGACGCATGTAAGGAAATAAGAAGAGGCGCAAGATGCGCCATGAAGCCTGGGGAAACATCCTGGCCCAGGCCATGATATCCCCCCCTTAGTCCTCCCCCCCCCGGTTGCCGCTCCCGCTCTGTAATCCGATGACCCCCCCCCTGTATGGGCCTGGGGAGACCACTAGGATTAAGTCGGGCCTGTCCCCCTGCAGGGGGATTTTCGACGAAAAAAAATAAAAAAATACCACAAACAATACACCAACAATGTCAAAAAATGTTAAGAAAATAGTCCCCTGAGCATTTTTGGATTATTTTTGGACTATGTTTGGGGTATTTATTAGTTTTCGTCGAACATCCCCCTGTAGGGGGACAGGCCCGACTTAACCGTATGGGCCTGGGGAGACCACTATAGGAGCCCGTGCCGCTGCTCCCTGGACCTCTCCAGGGGGGGCGCTCTGACCAGAGTGCCGCAGCGAAGCCAAACGGTGGCGAAGAGGACCCCCCGGAGGCCCAAAGATGATTGAAGGGGCCCTGGGATACACAAATAAATACACACAAATAACAGGATTCCCTATATTTTCCCATATCTTCTGGGTTTCTGTATTCCCCCTCACTACCCACATTTTTCTACATTTTCCCGGGAGTCGAGGATAAATTGTGCCTGTGTGTTTTTTCTCCTCCTGAATGATGGCCGCGCCCATATTGGGGGGCGAGCCGAGCCACGAGGCCCCTGGTCGCCCGCGCGTCACGCGCGCGCCGCGCGCGCGCGGCCCCAGGCGGACCAGCCAATCGGACGGACGGGCAACTGGCTGCCAGCGGGCGGGCTTCGGCGGCGGCGCGGCCCCGCACCCGCCGCCGGCGTGCCGGCAGGGGGGGGGCGGCGGGCCGTGCGCGCCCGCGGAGCGGTCGAGCGGCCGCGGTCGGCGCGGTGCGTGCGGAGGTCCCGCCAGCGGGAGGCTGCCAGAGCAGAGGCCTCCCGGCTGGGGCCCGGCTGGTCGGAGGGTCGCGCCACATCGACGGCACGTCGGCGGAGCATCGCCGATGCACAGGCGATGCAGCGGCGACGTCGGCGTCGCGACGCATCGGCGATGCGGCGCGATCCTCCGACCCCATCTGTTCCGATCCCATCCAGGACGCCCAGATGCGTGCGGATGACCCACCAGATGGAGGCTGTCAGAATATGTCACAATCCGATGACCCCCGCTTGCCGGGGGTGGAAAGGCAAGTCCGCCTCCCCTTTGACCTTACCCTTTCCCCCATCCTCCCCATTTCAGAAACATGTGGCTGTCCCCTCCCCCGAGGGGCCAAAAATCGCGTTCGAGGTGGGGGAGCCTGGCTCCCCGACGTACTCCCCTGGGGCCTCCGAGCCCTGCAGATCACTCCTTCGCAGCCGCCAGAGTCTCAAAATGCACCGATGCTTCCCAAGATGGCTCCAGAAAGGGCTCCAATACGCCGGAAAGAGTCTCGAGACCATCAAAGAACAAAGCCCCATGAGAAACCCCCCTGAGGGCCTCAAGACGCAAATCACACGGATTTCCGATTTATTCCGGCATGATTCTCGCAGATCTTTGGCGTCTGCGCGCTCAAGACGGCCCAAGAGGCCCCCCAGACTGGCCCGAGCTGACCCACACGAGACCCTTAAAAAAACGTGCCAGAGACGGCCAAGGAGGGCCCCAAGACGCCCCAAGAGGGCCCCAAGACGGCAAACAAGAACCTGAACATGGTCCCAGGAGAGGCCCAGGAATGAAAACCCGCAGAGGCCCTGGGAGCCCTTCCCCAGAAGATGGCCCCCAAGGCCCCCGACAGGCTCCAGAGGCACCCCAAAAGCAACCCAAAGGGGCCCCCCGACCCCCCAGGAGCCTTTACAATGCTCCAAGAGGCCCCCATAAGCTGCCGAAGATGCCCCCAAAAGCAATTGGACCCCTAACGTTGCCGGGAATCCCGAGACACCCCTCAGCTGCACGAGGGAGGCATCAAAAAGAGCCAGGACAACATTACAAGCCGCCCCGTTGTGTTTGATATCCTCCTCCTTTTCCTCCTCCCTCTCACCGTCGTCGCCAGTACTTCCTTCCTCAGATCCCGAAGAGAAAAAACAATGTCGACCATCCGCGACGTCATTCCGGGAACATCTCTCTCCATGCGCGACGCGCAGCGTATTGCAGTGCTGCCTCCCGAGGCACGCAGGATGAGTGCGCCCCCTGCGCGGAGCAGCGACTGCGCGGCGGCCAGCCTGCCGACGCGCCCGGACACTTGAGTGCATCCCGTGCGTGCGATCTGGGAACTTCGCGCTTCGCGCTCCGCGAAGCGCGAATAACTTCTCGCTCTCGCGCCGCCCCCCAAAGGGAGAAAAGGAGGACGAGGAGGAGGGGGAGAAGGAACGAGGACCGCGAAGCGCAAATAACTTCGCGCCCTCGTGGGAGCCCTTGACGACGGCGTCCAAGAAACAGCCAGCAGGCGCGCGGATACCTTGACGAGGCTTCAAAACGCCCACCAAGACACCCACAAGGCCTCACGCCGTCCGGGGGTCTGCAGGATGGCGTAAGCCTCGCGAATATCCTTCTCCCCCGGCCTGCTCCTCCTACTTTTCCTCCTCCTCCTCCTCCTCCTCCTCCTCCTCCTCCTCCTCCTCCTCCTCCTCCCCCTTCCTTGACTTCAAACTCCTCCTGCTCCCCTCCTCCTCCTCCTCCTCCTCCTCCTCTCCTCCTCCTCCTCCTCCTCCTCCTCCTCCTCCTCCTCCTCCTCCTCCTCCTCCTCCTCCTCCTCCTCCTCCTCCCCATCCTCCTCCGCCTCCTCCTCCTCCTCCTCCTGCTCTCTTGTCTCGCTTCCTTCACGTGCTCCTGCTCCTCCACGTCCTGCTGCGCGCGACAGATATCAAACACGTGACACTCCTCCCCATCCCCTGCCCATTCTTGCCATGATCAGCACTATCATACTCATCACAATATCAATAGTCATGATCACGACCATTAAGCACATAAAAGTACGGATCATCATCCACATAATCACAATCGTCATCACCACAATCAGCATCATAATCAGCATCATCAACAGCGTCATCACCATGATCATCAGCGTAGTCGTCATCATCAGCATGATCGCCATCGTCATCATCATAATCATCATCATCATCGTCATCATCATCATCATCATCATCATCATCATCACCATCACCATCAGCATCATCATCATCATCATCATCATCATCATCATCATCATGATCATCATGATCATCATGATCATCATCACCATCGTCATCAACATCATCATCATCAACAACACCATCACCATCAATATCAGCATCAGCATCATCATCACGATCAGACTCACAATCATAATCATCAGCATCAGCTGCATCATCGTCATCAGCATCACCACCACTGCCATGATCAACATCATCACCATCACCATCAGTATCGTCATCATAAGCAATATCAGCAGCAGCATCATCACCACCAAACATCACTGTCATAGGCATCAACAAACATCATCGTCATCATCACCATCACCATCACCATCACAAGCATCATCACCATCATCAGCAGCAGCATAACCATCATCATCATCCTCATCGTCGTCGTGGTCGTCGTCGATGTCGTTATACGCATCATCGAAATCATCATCACCATCACCATCATCATCATCACCGTCATCATCACAGCCACCATAACGATCAGCATCACTACCGCCACCGCCACCAGAACCATCCTCATCAGGATCATCCACACCATCCGCACCGTCATCATCATCGCCAGCACCATCGCCACTACCATCACAATCAACCTCAACCTCAATATCGCTGAACCCATCGCAGTCATCACGGTCACAATCAGCACCACCGCTCCTCGCTGCACTCCTCTCGGGCAACGCGCTGCCGATCGCAGGAAGGCGTCGGCGTCGCTGGGGAGCGACTTGTCCTGAGGGCGGGCCCGTGCCTCCCGCGAGCAGGCTCCTGTTTCCAACTGCGGTCCACCAGTGCGGGACGGGAAAATGACCACAGCCACTGCTTCTTGTTTGCGCCGCCTTCCAGCCGGCCGAAAAAGAAGCAGTGGTTGTGGTCATTTCCCTGGTGCCAAGCTCAACGAAATTGACCACAACCACTGCTTTGTTTCTGCGGGCTGGAAGGCGGCAACAAAAGAAAAGCAATGGCTCTGGTCGTTTTCACGCCCCGTAATCATGTTCCCCGCTCTACGAGAGGCGAGCGCATCCACAGGAACGCCCACGCGGCCAGATTCCGGGGCGCGATCCCGTGGAGACGCAATCGCATGGATGCGCTCCGCGCGAGTCGCGGGCGGCCAAGAGGGGGGTGCCCAAGAGGGGGGGCGCAAACCATGGCCAGCGGCATGTTCGCGGCCCAGACGGTGGAGGGGGGCAGGGGGGTGATGAGACAAGAGGAGGCGCCACGAAGTCTGAGGAGATGTCATGGCCCACGCCATATTATGCAACCCCCCCCCTGGTCATCATCCCCCTCTTGGCCGCCCCCGAGCGGGGCCTCCGCGGAACAAGCGCCCCGGGGCCCCGGCCGGCGAGGCCGTGCACATACCCGGACGCACGCCTTCCGCCCACGACCCCGCCCCCGTGCCCCCCCTGCGCGCGCATCGAGGCCTGCCAGGCTGCCGGAGGCTGACTGGCAGAGCGTCTGCTCGGAGGCCCCTGCAAAGCCTGGCGGCACCTGCCCTGCGTGCCTCCCGCCCTCTCTTGAGGCTCCCTGGGCGGCCCCAAGCCTCTCCAGCTCTCTTCCAAGGGGCCCAGCTTACCTCGGGTCGGGCATGTCCCCCCTACAGGCGGCTGTGGACGAACCATTAACAAAAAGACTCAGAACGTCATCAAACATACTTTTGGAAATCGTCCCCAGTCTATTTTCTAACAAATATCCCTCCTGTAAAGGGACAGGCCCGGCTGAACACTTGCCCAAGATGGCTTCCAAAATGGCCAAGGCAGGCCACCAAAGCCGCCAAGAAGAGGACCAAAGATTTGCACCAGGAGCGAGCCGACAGCTCCGAAGGAGCTCTCAAGGGTTATCTCTAGGAACACCTCGAGAGGACCCCAAAAGATTTGTATTTGGATCTGCTTCACTACTAGCTATGTTTCGCTTTCCACGCTCTTCGGCCAAATATCGCTCCACTTGCGCACGGTGGCCCAACAAGGGCAAACAAGGGCCCCAAGAGAACCCAAACCCAGTCCAGGAGAACCTCCAGAGGAATCCAAGAACACCTAAGAAGTTCCCAAGACGGTCCAAGAGAGATCCACCAGACCGCCAGCATAGCCGCTGGACGACCCAAGATGGCCCCGAGACGGCCCAAAAAGACCCCCAAAACCGATCGAAGAGGGCAGCACGGGACACCCAGGACGGCCCCACAGAAGCACACATCCTGAGGACAAGGCCGCCCAGAAAAAGAGACGACAGACGGCCTTCTGGCAGGTGCTTGAAGGCTCGCCGCAACGAGTGCTGCGCTTGCACGGTGGCGTATTTGCCGCAAGCACCCGAAAGCCTCCTAAATGGGGCCGCATCGCTGATAGGTGGGCGATACATCCGCGATGCATCGGTGATGCACCGGCGATGCATCGGCGACGTCGGCGATGCATCGGCGCAATGGGCGTGGCGAAGATCGGCCTCCACTTCGAGCCGCGTCGCCGATGCATCGGCGACGCGGCGCGATCCTCCGACCTCATCTACTCCGACCCTATCTGGGAGGCCTAGAATCGGCGGTGGACAAACCTCCCTTTAGTAAACCTCCCCTTAGTGAAAGCGGCCCGGGACCGAAACCGACGGACCTGGACCCGCAGAAATGACGGCCGCGACGCCCTCTCGCGGACCGAAAACGGCCAATTCCTTAATCGACGCGTCAGGGTGGGAGGTGGATCAACCTCCGATGGAGCAGGAGGGACACATGCAGGCAGGATTGCGCTGCGCGTGGGCGTCGGCAGGACGCCCCGCGCCACGCGCATCGTCTCTTTGCACCCTCGCGCCGCCCCCCGGGGAAGCAACTCTCGCCCCCCCCTGCGGGTGGAGAGCCCCGAACGGCGCCACAGCATGTGCACACAAGGGGGGCAGGGCAGGTCGAACGGCCGCGCAAGCGAGGGTGCGAAGGCAGGCAGTCGTGGCACTGCTCTGGCAGGAAGCAGGTGCACAACCAAACCGCCAACATCTGCTGATCAAAGGCTCGCTCGTCTGGGTTCGGTGCTGCGATGGCCGCGCTGCGATGACGGCGGCGAGTCTGCGGCCAGAGATGGCATCGCGGATCAAGGGTATTCTTGTCCTGTGGCATCCTTGCCACGAAGATGGAACACACACACACACACACACACACGCGCGCGCGCGCGCGCGCGCGCTCACACACTCTGCAAGACCGCGGGAGCCAAGTGGTCCAAGACACTCAAACGCTGGTCAGCAAGCGGTGAGGTGCACCGGGAGCGAATTGAGGCACCAAGGCGAAAAGGAGCAGAGCGAGAGAAGAAAAACACGGGGCCCGCTGAGCCCATGCAAGTCGGCGCGGGGATGCCAAAAGAGAACATGCGAACTGCGTCCAAGCAGCAGGGCTGGGGCCAGCTTGAAACACCTGGGGAACGCCTGCGAGACTTACAAACGCACTCCTAGGTACACGTGGCCGAAAGAATCGAACAGGGCAGGACTGCCTAGCAAACGCCGAGGACTGCTCAGGAAACGACACACTGGGGAATCGGGGTGGTTCGTCCCCCCTTGAGGGAGGGGGAGGAGGAAGAGGAGGATGAGGACAAAGGGGGACGAGACGTGGAAGAACACTGGGAGGCTTGAGGATCATGCCTCTTCCACTCCCCCTGCTCCTTTGCGCCTCCTCCGCCTCCTCATTCTGTAGTCCTCTTCCCTCCTCCTCCTCCTCCTCCTCCTCCTCCTCCTCCTCCTCCTCCTCCTCCTCCTCCTCCTCCTCCTCCTCCTCTTGCTTCCGTCCCCCTCCCTCCTCGAGCCTGGATCCTTCATACTCAGTAACAAAAATGGGAGGGAGAGGGCCAGTTCCTCCGGACCCCCTCCAGCTGCGGCGTCCTCCCCGCCTCCCTGGCTCCCCCCCCTGCTTGCGCTCCATCAGCAGGTCGTTGACGTACCGCCCCAGAGAGATCTCAAGGGACTGCTCGCCCGACCTGACCACCAGAATCAGGTACAGCGTCCTGCAGCGGCGGCCGCTTGCAAGATCAGTCGGCATCGAATCGGGAAGACCGATCGGACCAAGACTGCGCGTCGGACCCGGAAGCATCGGCTCAGAGCCGGAATCCAATCGGATCGACCGCGCCAGGATGCACGCCGGCTCCACGCGAACACCGGGACGCATCGGCCCGACGAAATCTCTGAACCGAATCGGATCCGAACAGGAATATCAGGATCGGTTCCGAATACCGGAATCGAATCGGATGGACCGCATCGACCTGGACCCTGAACTCTGGCATGACGCACGCGGGTCCTGAGGGCACCAGGCCCCAGACCCCGGCCCACCTGTTCACCCCTCTGGTCGTTCCGTGACGGTCCCAGAGCCCTTCACTGGGCTTAGGTCGGGCGTGTCCCCCTGCAGGCGGATTTTGGACGAAAAATCCAAAAGCCGCCGATCCGGCGTGTGAGTTTCAAGGAGTCTCAGCTACAGCCTCGAGGCTGAGCCTCAGCCTCTGGGGGGGTTGCCGGGGTGGCTCTGCCGGGGAAGGGGGGATGGGGGGGGGGCGGTGCGAGTTTCCGGCGGATGCGGGGCGCTGCTTTTACAGAAGGCTCGAATCTCGAGGATGCGCTGGAAGGGTGGCCGCGGCCGCAAAAGTCTCTGAGGACGGTCTACGAAAGTCCCGAGACCCCGAAGGATCGCCCGAATTCGCCCAAGATGGCCCCAAGACGGCCCAAGAGCCTTCCACGACGTCTGAAGAGGCCTCCAAGAGGCCTCCCACGATGGCCCCCAGAGGCAAAAATCGTTGATTCCCATTGGTTTGTTCAATGTTTTTGGGGTTGTCGTTTTTTTCGGCTTTCCGACGCTCCAAGACGGCCCAAGGGGCCCTCAAGACCGCTCGAAGACAGCCCAGGAGGCCCCCAGACAGTCCCAAGACGGCCCAAGAGGGCCCCAAGGCGGCCCAAGAGCCGCCAAAGACGGCCCAACAGGCCCCCAAGACGGCCCCAAGAGGACCCAAAAGAGGGACGAAAAGCGGAAAAAATCTAGCCTTCCAGCCCACGAGGCCCCCAGGAGGCCCCAAGAGCCTCCAAGAGGGCCTCCGAAAGCCCCCAAGAAGCCCCCACGACGCCCTGACAGGCTCCTAAGATGGCTCAAAAAACGCCCCAATAGGGCGTCCTTGCGCCGATAGGCTCGCCTCCACCGCTCGCACCACATCGTCCAGGCCACATGTTTCGTAACACGACTCCGTGCACGACGTATCGTGAGTTTCCAAAGTGATCGGCATCCTGTATGGAATTTTCATGTCGTTATTATTTCCCGTCCCCACGGTCACTGCAAGCACCCCGCCGTTGATAGAACCACTGTTGCGAGATGGCTCTATTGACCCAACTGCATTCCTACGCCCTTTCGAAGGTAGCCCGAGAAGTTTGTGCGTTTGAGTGTGCGCCCATAATGTCTGCGTCTGGAGAATAACACCGAGCGACCCGGATCGGCGGCACTGGCCGAAGGCCACTACAATACCACTGAAATGCCCCACAGATTTTCAAAAACGGTCAAAAGATCGTCCCCGTAGCATGTTTGTTGACTTGTCTTGGACGTTCCTCCGGGCCCAGAAGTGGCCCAGCTTTGGATGCTCGTTCTGGGGACCTTCCTGGAGCCACTCGCTCCACTCGTGCGTCGAAGCTGCATCGAACGTCAGTCGATTTGGGTCGACCCTGAGTCGAACCTGAGTCGAACCTGAGTCGAACTTGAGTCGAACTTGAGTCGAACTGGGGTCGAACAGATTCGTTAGGTGGGCTCCAGGAAGGTCCCCGAATCGAGCATCGAACCAGCTGGTCGCCCCGAAGTCGTTCGACAGGGCCCGTGGAGGCCCCTCACGCCCCCCTCCCCTGGGGGGGCCCGCCGGCTCGGGACCCGGTGCTGCTCCGGGGCGACGAGCGGGCGAGACGAGGACGACGAGGAGGGGAGGACCAGGAGGAGGACAAGGAGGACAAGGAGGAGGAGGAGGAGGAGGAGGAGGAGGAGGAGGGAACGGAGGGAACGGAGGGAACGGAGGTGGCGACGACACGTCTGGCGGAGGAGGCGGATGCGACAAGTCAGGAGGAGGAGGATGGGGGAGGGGGAGGAGGAGGAGGAGGAGGAGGAGGAGGAGGAGGAGGAGGAGGAGGAGGAGGAGGAGGAGGAGGAGGAGGAGGATGAGGAGAACTGATGGAGGCGGATGTCGAGGCCGAGATCGAGGGGCGACTCTGCACAAATCCTCCCCCTGTCGGCGGACAGCTCCCCGCGCTGCCGTCGCGCGAGCGCTCGGGGACGCGAGGGGTCGCACCTGCAGTCGCAGAGCGATGTATCGTTCCCATAGTATTTTGGTTGGCCGTTTTATCCAGATTCCTCCTGAAGATCGCGGCACTAGCCACTGCTCGGGCGGCCGCTCGAACGCGCGGGGTGGCGAGGGGGCCACGAGCCCGCGGGGGGCCGCGGGAGCGACGGCGAGGGAGCACTTTGAGCACTGCGCGCTGCATCGCGGGAGCGGTTTGTTCGTCCGCGGGCGCCGAGGGGTCCACGGCAGCCAAACGCCCAAGCAGCAGGCGGCGGGGTGCACCAGGAGCGGATCGAGGCACGAGGGCGACAAAAGGAAGAGGGCGCGCGGAGGGGGGAAGGGGCAGGAACCCGCTCGGACCACGAGAGCATTCTATCTCATTGCGGGATCAGGGAGAGGCGGAACCTCTACCGCCAGGGACCGCCAGAGGGAGGAGCCGAGGGGGACCCCCTTGACCCCTGTCGTCGAGGAGCGAACCACGACGGGAAGGCTTTCGCTGCGTTCGGCCTATTTGGGCCCTCACCTGGCCTCGGGGACCGCCAGAAGGGGATGCAGCATGAGCAAATACTGTCCCTGGGGAATGCGTCGAGACCTCTGGGGGTCGACGTCAGGACAAACTGATGACGCCGGGGGTCTGGGCCTGGTGGCGTGGTCCCCCCCTCGCTCGAGACATCCCCTATCTCCAGCTCGGGGAGACATCGTGGGCCTCCACGCTGGAGGTAGCCCCCCTGCTGGTGGTGGTGTCGCTTCTCCTTTCCCGACTATCGGCAAGGGCGCAGAAGCGCTTCCGACTTCAACGCCTCCACGACCACGACGTTCGAGGACGAAGACGAAGACGATGGCAGCCAAAACGGCTACCGCGACGGCAGCGATGCGGCGGCGGCGGCGCGCGACGGCGACGGCAGACGATGTCGATGACGCTCAGGACAAGGACGACGAGGACGAGGGTGATGACGAGGACGATGCCCGACTACCAGGACGGCAGATGCTTCTGGCCGCTCGCACCCGAATGGAGGGGGGGGACGGGGGGACGAGGAGGGATGGGAGGGAGAGGGAGGAGCGACGAACCATACTGGGGCGACGGGCGGGACGGGGAGGAGAGGGAAGAGGAGGAGGCTTAGGAGGAGGAGGAAGAGGACGGCGAGGAGGAGGTGAAAGACGACGGCGACGACTGGCGGGAGGAGGTGAAGCAAGAAGGAGGAGGAGGAGGAGGAGGAGGAGGAGGAGGCGGAGGCGGAGGAGGAGGAGGAAGGAGGAAGGAGGACGAGGAGGAGAGGAAAGGAGGACGAGGAGGAGAGGAGAGGAGGCCGAGGAGGAGAGGAAGGAGGACGGGGGGAAGGGATGCGGCAGGAGGACGAGGGCGGGAGGGCCGTGCCATGGCGAAGCCGCAGGGCGACGACGTCGAAGCGGCGGCTGCGGCGGCGGCGACGGCCAGCGGGCGGCGAGCGTCCCGGGAAGCTCCGGCGCCTCCGCGGCCCGCCGAGCAGTGCGGCACTCCAGGCCCCGGGGCACGTACAGCGCGTCCCCGGGCCGGGCCACCTGGGCGGAGGGAGGAGGGCGGAGGGAGGAGGAGGAGGAGGAGGAGGAGGAGGAGGAGGAGGAGGAGGAGGGGAGGGAGGAGGAGGAGGAGGAGGAGGAGGAGGAGGAGGAGGAGGAGGAGGAAGAGGAGGAGGGAGAGGAGGAGGAGGAGGAGGAGGAGGAGGAGGAGGAGGAGGAGGAGGAGGAGGAGGGAGAGGAGGAAACCTTCCACGAGAAACCCAACCCTGAGACCCCAGGACGTCCATGGATAATTGGTGTGGGAACGTCACGCCTTCCGTCGAAGAACCATCGGAACCCAAGAAACCCAGGGCATCCTGCTGGCAAGCAGGGTGTTTCTTGGCATGGGCCTCCACTCTATCGTCGACGCCGCCGCTGGCGTTGCCGTCGAAGCCGCTGCCGTCGACGTCGCTATCGCCGACGCCGCCAATGTCCAAAGCGTCGTCGTCGCTGCCGTCAGCATCGCTATCGTCGGCGCGGCCGCTGTCGCTACAGTCGTCGCCGCCGCCGTCGTCGGCCACTGGCCATCGCTCGGACGTCCATTCCCTGTGATTTTTTTGGTCTCGTGCGTGGCCTTTCGCAAAATGATCAAGGATGCTCCTCGATGGTCCTCGCCGAAGGAAAATTGCACACGTCCGAGCGATGCCAGGCGTCGCCGCCGCCGTCGTCGCCCAATTCTCCTCACCGCTGCCGCCGCCTGCGCCGCCGTCGCAGTCCGCCCGCGTCGCCGCAGCCATCCCCGCCGCCGCCGAGGGGTGGGGGTGGCGCAAAGGGTGGCATGGCAAGCCAGGCGCGCTGGCGCCACAGCAGGATATCATGTCCCTCCCTCCCATCCCCTCCCCATTGCGCTCACTCTAACCTCTTCTCGATCCCTCATATCCCATCCTCTTCTCTATTTTGCAGTTTGAAAAATATCCCTATCCCTATGTTTGACATCACCTCACCTCGATGCCGATCTTAAGGATTCCCTCAGTTTCTGAGGGCCTATCCCTAAGATTGTCCTCGCTTTTTGCTCGCCCATCTTAGGGATAGGGATACGTTCGAGGCTGTTTATCTATCCGCGGACGCGTGCCCTAGCCGACCTAGAACCCCATCACCTCAGCAAAGCACCCTAATAGCAGCAGGGGTGACCTGTGGGACATGTGGGGCAGGTGGGAACTGTGGGACCTGTGCGGTCTGTGGGGCTTCTGTGGCCAGTGGGACCTGTGGGGGTCTGTAGGGCAGGTGGGAACTGTGGACTTGTGGAACCTGCGGGGGGACCAAGGGAGAAGCGATGCGAGTGAGATAAGAATGCCTGACATCCGCTCGTGTGATCTTTTCAACCCGAGGCCCCAGAGGCCACGACCGCTTCCCCCGGGCCCGACGACGGGCCCAAGAGGCCAAAATCGAAGCAACAAAAACACCAGCTGAGGACAACAACGACAACAACAACGACAGTAAGTTCAAGACTGTTCGCTCTGACTGGCAAGCGTGTCCTGCATTCCGTACAACCCAGCCCTCGATACCCGCCCACTTCGTCTTCGATTGCACCCCTTCTCGGGGGGATCTCTCCCTTGTCGGCCACTGACTGAAGTGCGGAGAGGTCTCGAGCAGGAACGCCGTTCCTGAGGGTGGGGGGCCTCTCTGGCCAGGGGCTCTCGGAATACCTGTGGAGAAATATCCAACGGGAGCACCTGTCGCCGTGTCTGGGCCTCCACCCAATTGCCTGAATTACGGAAAAGTCTCGAGCGAGAGCGCCGTTCTTGAGCTCGGAAGCCTTCTTGGCCAGGGGCTCTCGGAGTAAATTGTGGGGAAGTATCCAGCAGGAGCCTCTTTGGGTAGGATATCTCGGAGTTAGTTGTCAGGAAGTATCAAGCAAAAGCCCTTGTCGTCGTGGCTGGGTCTCCGCCAACTTGATTGAATTGCGAGGAAGTCTCGAGCGAGAGCGCCGTTCCTGAGTTCGGGGGCCTCTCTGGCCAGGGTGTCTCGGGGTAAATTGTGAGGAAGTATCGAGCGGGAGCAGTTGTTCTCGTAACTGGGCCTCCAAGGGCCCACATTTAGGCTCAACCCAACGCTCGAGCGGGAGCCTCGCTTTCAGACAACATGTAGCCGGCGTCGAGGCGAGAGCGCGCGGAACCGTTTCCGGAGATCAACAATAATTATTATTTAGAGAGGGCTGCTCAACAAAAACAACAACAACGACAACAGCAACAACAGCAGCAACCACACCGTCGGCCCCAACATCAAAAACATTAATATCACCAACTACATCAACAGCAATAGCAGCAGCAACAATAAGAACACCACCACCAACAACACACCTTACAATAACAACCACAAAACAACGACAACAACAATTGCAGCAACAACCGCATCATCAATAACATCAGCATCAACAGCAACGACAACATCAACGACACAATCAACAACAAATCATCAACAACAACACTAACAACAACAGCGACAACAACAACACCACCACACGCAACACAACCAACAATAACACCAATAGCAAACATGACAGCAATGAGAACAAACATAAGCAATAACAAAAATTACCACAGCAACGACAGATCATCAATAATAACAACAACCACAACAACACAAACGCCAACACCAACAACACGAACAACAGCAAAAACATCAACAACAACCAGATCATAAACGATAGCAGCAACAACAACTGCATCATCCTCAACACCAACAACATCAACATTATCACCAACCACAATATCAACAGGAACGACGGAGACGACGACGAAAACCACATCATCGACCACAACAACAACAAAACACCAACACTAACAACAACAGCAACCACCGCTTGCAACGCAACACCAGCACTACCAACACCACCACCAACAACGTCGACAACACCATCAACAACACATACCCACAACACCAACAACAACACCTCAACCATCAGAAACCGCAGCACCAACAACTACAACATCAACACCAACAACAACAACAACAACATCAACAACAACCATAGCATCAACGTTAGCAGCAGCAACAACAACCGCATCGTCATCATCACCATCCATCCCAACGTCAACAAAACCGCCAACAACATCAACAGCAACGACGGCGACGACAACGACGACGATGACAGCACCAACACCGACAACAGAGACAGCAACAAAACCAATAACATCAACAACCACCACCAGCACCACCACGACAACATCAACACAAGCATCAACACCAACAACAACATCGACAACACCATCATCCGCACCAGTACCAACAACATCAGCACCAACAACACCACGACCAACAACAACTGCAATAACAATAACAACAACAACAAAAACAACAACAACAACAACAACAACAACAACAACAACAACAACAACAGCAACACCAACACCAACACCAACAACAACAATCGTGGAAGATCTGGGATGGCAGACTGGGGGTGGGAGGGAGGCGACGCCGCAGGAACCATATGATCCCCAGCACACCTTTTCTGGGTCTCGTTTTTGAAGAAAGCACTGCGGTCGCACACCTGCGACCGTCCCCCCCCCTCCTCCTTCGTGCCCCATCTGCCCTCCTCCCCCATCCGCCTGCGCTGCTCCCTGGGAGGCGGCGACCTGCGCAGTTGTCGCCACTTTCGTGGGCTCTTTGGAGGCACGGGGGAGTAGGGGCAGTTCCCGAGACCTCGCGGCTCCCTGGATGGCTGCGAACTGCGCAGCTGTCGCCACTTTCGTGGGCTCCTGGGAGGCACGGCGGAGTGGAAGAGTACCCGAGACCTCGCCGCTCCATGGGAAGCTGTCGCCACTTTCGTGGGTTCCAGGGTGGCACGGCGGAGTGGAGGAGTACACGAGACCTCGCAGCTCCCATCGGCGGTGGACAAACCTCACCTTAGCAAACCACCCTTTAATGAAAACGGCTTGGGACCGAAACCGACGGACCTGGACCCGTAATACGACGGCCGCGACGCCCTCTCGCGAACCGAAAACGGCCAAGTCGCTAATCGACGTGTCAGGGCAGGAGGTCGATCAACCCCCGACCCCAGGGAAGCTGCGAACTGCGCAGCTGTCGCCACTTTCGTGGTCTCCAGGGTGGCACGGCGGAGTGGAGGAGTACACGAGACCTCGCCGCTCCATGGGAAGCTGCGAACTGCGCAGCTGCCGCCACTTTCGTGGGCTCCAGGGCGGCGCGGCGGAGTGGAGGCGTACACGAGACCTCGCAGCTCCCAGGGAAGCTGCGAACTGCGCAGCCGTCGCCACCTTCGTGGGCTCCCGGGGAGCACGGCGAGGTAGGGGCAGTACCCGAGACCTCGCAGCTCCGTGGGCGGCTGCGAGCTGCACAGCTGTGGCCACGCTCGTGGGCCCCTGGGAGGTCCAGCGGAGTCGGGGGCCCCGCGGACTCGACTCCCGTGGAGAAGGGTGTGGGTACGCCTTGGGTACTTACGTTTCGCCCGTGACGGGCCCCGCCCCCCGCCCCCCCCCCCCACCCCATCCACCCTCCCCTGGTCACGCCACGGGTCGTCCTGGCGCCGGCTGGCAAGGAGCCACGCTGAGGCATTAGGCGTCCCAAGAGGCCCTCCAGAAGCAAAAATCGTCCCATTCCATAGGAAAAACGCATCTGTGTAGCACATTCGCCTCTTGGGCTTTCACGAAGCCCACAACGGCCCAAGAAGCCTTTGAGATAGATCGAGCTAAGATAGCCCAAGAGGCCCCCAAGAGGGCTCCAAGACGGCCCAAGAGGGCGCCGCTTCCAACACGACCCAGGCGGGCCCCAGGACGGCCCCACGAGGAGGCACCGAGGGGGAACCCGAATGACCAGGTCGAGCACTCGGCCCCGAAAAAATATGAGGAGGCGCCAATAGGCCCCCAAGAGGCCCCCACGAGGCCCCCGAGAGGCCCAACAGAGGCTCCTAGAGGCATCAAAACGGCTCCCAAAGGGCCTCAAAGGTGCTCCCAGGAGAGCCCAGAGAAAACCGAAGAGCAGAGCGGCGATCCTCCAACCGCCCCCGACGAAATCCCACGAAACTGAAACCCCAAGAGTCCCTAGAAATGGTTACGCAAACTCCGCTGTTCACTCTTACTGCCGCCCCAAGGGGTCGGCGGTGAGGCGTCAGACAATGAATCAGCCTCACACTCACCAACTACTACCGATGCTGATGATGCCAAAATGCGAGGATGCCAGGATGCGCCGTGTAGGACCGTTGAAACATGTGGAACCTGTGCAACCTGTGGGGCTTGTTGGACCTGCGGGTCACATAGAGGGGGAACTCCCGCTCAAGACTTCCTCACTGCGCACTGACAGACGAGGCTCCCGCTCGAGATAGCCTCGCGATGTACCCCCTTGGGGGGCTCAAAGGCTATGGCTGCTACAGTGGGCCAATGACCCGCTCGGATTCCCAACATGAGGCGGGGACCCCATAGGGAGAGGACTCCCGCCAGAGACTTCCCCACAACTCACTCACAGACGAGGCCTCCGCTCAAGACATCCTCACGAATAGCCCCCGTGGGGTGCTCAAGTGCTATGCCTGCTACAATCGGCCAATGACCGCTCGGATTACCAACATGAGGCGGAGACCCGTGGGGAGAGGGCTCCCGCCTCAGACATCCTTGCAACTCACTGACCAATCATGCTCTCGCTCGAGACGTCCCCCCGATTTGCCACCCTGGGGGTGCTTGAGTGTTGCCTGCTACTGTACTGCGACGCCCCGCTCGGATCACCAACATGAGCTGAGGGCTCCAAAGGACGAGGGCTCCCGCCTGCGACTTCCTTGCAATTCACGCCAACGAGGCCCCTGCGTAAAATATACACAATTTGCACCCCATTGGGCTGCCCAAGTGCTATGCCTGGCGAAATTAGCCGATGATCCGCTAGGATTACCAACATCAGCTGCGGGCGCCATAGGATGGGGGCTCTGGCCTGAGACGTCCTCGCAACTCCCTCACAGACGAGACCCCCGCTTGTTCTGTGTGTGCTCAAGTGTTATGCCTGACAGAAGCTGCAGATGATCCACTCGCATTACCTTCATGCAGTGCGGGCCTCATAGGGATGGGGCTCCACCCTGAGACATCCTTGCGATTCCATCACAGACGATGCCCCCAGTAGAGACATCCTCAGGATGTGTCCCCTTGGATTGCTCAAATGCTATGCCTGGTCGAGTTTGCCGATGACCCGCTCGGAGTTCCAACATGAAGTGCGGGCCCAATATGGCGGGGCCTTTCTTCGCAACTCACTAACAGACGAGGCCCCCACTTGAGACATCCTCACGATATGCCCTCTTGGGGCTCTCAAGCGTGCCTTATGCCTGGCAGCATGTGCCCAAGAGCTGCTGCGGGCCCTGAGGGAGGGGGCTCCCCCCTGAGACTTCCTCGCAATCCACTGCCAGGCGCGGCCCCCGCTTGAGATATCCTCACGATTGGCCCCCTTCGGGGCACTCCATTGCCATGCCTGGCAGAATCTGCAAATGACCCTCTCGGAGTACCAACATGTGAGCTGCGGGCCCCCATCGGACGGGGACCACCGCCCGAGACACGTCATTCGATGCGCTTGCAGACGAGGCCCCCGCTTGAGACATCCTCGCGAGTTGCCCCCTCGGGGTGTTCGAGTGCTTTTTTGGGTGGCCCGAAGGGAAGGGGGTCCAACTGAAACGGGGTGGTGCAATAGATTTCGGGCAATTGTATTGCAAATGTATTGCGCCGGGGGATTGTATTGCATTGTATTGCAAGTCATGTAGCGCACGCAGAAATACTGCAATATCTATGCGCCCCGGAATGTATTGCCGGCCCCAAATTTACTGCAACCCCACAAATCGCACCAAATCTATTGCACCACCCCCTTGTCGCTGGACCCCCTTTTGGGCGGGCCAAATAGATCGGGGGCTCCACACCAAAAAATTCCTCTCGCTACTCACTCACAGACGAAGTCCCCGCTTGCGACATCTTCACAATGTGCCCCCTTGGGGTGCTCCGCCTGAGACATCCTCGCGACTTGCCCTCTTTTGGTGCTCAAGTGCTATGCCTGGCAGAAGTTGCAGATGATCCACTCGGATTTCCTTCATGAAGTGCGGGCTTCATAGGGATGTGGCTCCACCCTGAGACATCCTTGCGATTCTCTAACAGACGAGGCCCCCGCTAGAGACATCCTCACGATTTGTCCCCTTGGATTGCTCAAATGCTATGCCTGGTCGAGTTTGCCGATGCCCCGCTCGGATTTCCAACATGAAGTGCGGACCCCATGGGAGGGGCTCCCGCCTGACACTTCCTCGCAAACCTCTCACCGACGAGGTCCTGCTTGAGACATCCTCGCAATTCCCCCGCATTGGGCACTCAAATGCAATGCCTGGTCGAGTTTGCCGATGACCCGCTCGGATTACCAGTGTTGGCTGCAGGCCCCATGAGAAGAGTGCGCACGCCTGAGACTTCCTCGCAAGTCACTCGCAAGCGGGGCCCCCGCTCGAGACATCCTCACGATTGGCCCCCTTCGGGTATTCAAGCGTCATGCCGGGCAACATTTGCAACATGAAGTGCGGGCGACAGAGGGAAGGGGCTCCTGAGACTTCCTTGCAATTCGCTCACAGAAGAGGTCCCCACGTGAGACATCCTCACGATTTGCCCGCTTGGGGTGTTCAAGTGCTATGCCTCGTGAGGATCGTCGATGACCCGCTCGGGCTACCAACATGAACTGCAGGCATCACCAGCCTGGAACATATCCGTATCCCTATGCTGGGCACCTCCTCATCACGATGCCAATCTTAGGGATTCCCTTAAGTTTTGAGGGCGAGTTCCTAAGATTGTCATCGCCTTTTGGCAAGTCAATCTTAGGGATCAGGATACGTTCGAGGCTGGTAAAGGTACCCGAGGGTGGGGTCTCCCGCCCAAGGCATCCTTGCAATCCACTCACCGACGATGCCCAAGCCTGAGGCATCATGACCCCATGACCCGCTCGGACCGCCGACATGAAGCGCGGGCTCCGTAGGGCGCGGGGCCACCCGCCAGAGGCTTCCCCGCAGCTCGCTCGTAAACGAGACCCCCGCCCGAGACGTCCCCGCGAATTGCCCTCTCTGGGCGCTCCAGCATCATGCCTGGTCGAGTTCGCCGATGACCCGCTCGGCTTGCCAACAATGAAGTGCGGACCCCATGGGGTGAGGGCGCCGGCATGAGAGCTCCTTGCAGTTCACTCGCAGCCGACGCCCCCGCTTCCGACATGCTCTCGATGTGCCCTCTGGGGTGCGCAAGTGCTGCGCCTGGACACAATTGCCGATGACCCGCCCCGATCCCCCCAAAACGAGCTGCCCGCCCCAGATGGCGGGAACTCCCGCCTGAAACTTCCTCGGAATTCCTCGAGTTTGCCGATGACCCGCTCGGCTTGCCAACATGAAGTGCGGGTCCCACAGGAAGGGGCTCCCGCAGGAGACTTCCTCGCAATTCACTCAGAGACGAGACCCCCGCTAGAGACATCCTCACGAATTGCCCTTGTCGGGTCGCAAATGCTATGCCTGGCCGAATTTGCCGATGCACCGCTCGGATTACCGACATGAGGTGCGGGCCCATAGGGCGGGGGCTCCGGCCTGAGACTTTCTCGCAACTCACTCACCAAGGAGACCGCCGCTCAATAACTCCGAACGATTTGCCCGCGTGAAGTGTTCGAATGCTACGCCTGGTAAAAAATATCCGACGACCCGCTCGGATTACAAACATGAAATGCGTGCCCCATTTGGTTCCATTGCAGACGAGGCTCCCGCTTGAAGCATCCTCGCGATTTGCCCATGTCAGGTGTTCAGGTGCTATGCCTGTTAAAGTTCGCCGATGACTCGCTCAGATTTCAAACATGAGTGCGGCCCCAAGAGGGAGGGGGGGGCTCCCGCCTTTGACTTCCCTCGATATGAGTACGCGAGTGCGTGAGTGTGTATGCATATTAAAATGATACTGGTACTGATATGGATGATGATGATAAAAGAGGATGCTCATGATGGTGACGAGGACGAGGATGTTGATGATAATGCTTATGATGATGATCATCATCAACATCATTAGCATCATCATCATCATGGTCATGGTGATGGTGAGGGTGATGATGATCGCAATGGCGATGCTGATGATGATGCTGATGATGATGATGATGATGATGATGATGATGATGTGAAAGATGATGACGAGTGTGATGCTTGTGGTGGCGATGGTGCTGAGGAGGAAGGAGAGGGGTGCGGTGTGATGTTCCTGCGTAGAAGTGTGCTAAGACAACAAGAAACCCACTTCGGATGCGGGGGAAGAACTGTCTCCGGCAGCCCTGCGCAGCCGCTGGCGAGCGCGGGGCTGCGGCCGGGGCGGCGCGCGCGCGCGCACCACGGAGAGCACCGGCGCCGGGCGCGGCGCGGTCACCGGCAGCGTCCTGAGGCCCCGGCCCCCCTCTAGATCGTCGATGTCGCCGCCGTCGGCGTCGCTGTCGTCGCCGCCCTCATGGTCGTCGCCGTCGCGAACGCCGTCGGCGTCGGCGCCGGCGTCGGCGTCGGCGCCGGCGTCATGACCGTCGCGGTCGTCGTCGCCGCCGTCGCCGTCGCCGTCGCCGATGACATCGCCGTCGCTGTTCGCCGCCGTCGTGCCCATCACCCATCACCCAGGTGAAGGGAGGTGGGGAAGAGGGGCGCTGATACTCCCCAGAGCTCCACAACGAGACAAAATCACGACGGGGGTATGCTTCCCCGATTACGGCGCCAAAGGGGGGCGTTCCCAGAACCTGGGGCCCACTTCAAGAAAGCCGCGGTGAGATCACCCTGGCGAAGGACCCAACCATATGCGGATGCGAGTACCGCAAGGCAGGCGGGACAAAAAAGGCGCAGCTCCCCATGGGGCCACGAAACGTGTGAGGGGTGTGCCGAATCGGGTGCGGGTGCGCCATGCAGCTGTAAAAACATCTGAGACGTGTGCCATGCGGAACCTGCCGCTGGGGCCTTCGCGTGGACCTCCCCTTCGGGCCGCGACGTCTGAGGGGTGTGCCGAAATGGGACGGGCCGCCATGCGATCCCTGCCACTGGGGCCTTCGGTGGAGCTAGCCTATGGGCCTACGGAGCCATGGAACGTTTGAGGAGTGTGCCGGATTGGGGCGGGGCCGCCATGCGAACCCTGGCACTGGGGCCTTGGGTGCAGCTCCCTATGGGGCCACGACACGTGTGAGGGTTGTGCCAAATGGGTGTCGTGGTGCCAGGCGGACCCTGCCAGTGGGGCCTTCTGTGGAGCTCCCAAGTGCGAGGGGTGTGCCGAAATGGGGCGGGGCCGCCATGTGAACCCTGCCACTTTGGCCTTCGGTGGAGCTCCTATGGGGCCACGAAGATCGTGAGGGGTGCCGAATCGGGTGCGGGTGCGCCATGCGGCTGTAAAAACGTCTGACGCGGGTGCCGAAATGGGTGTGGTGGCGCCATGCGGACCCTGCCACTGGGGCCTCAGGTGGACCTCCCTTTGAGGCCACGAAATGTGAGGGGTGTGCCGAAATGAGGCGGGCCGCCATGAGAACCCTGCCGCTGGGGCCTTCGGTGGAGCTCCTAAGAGGGCCACGAACCGTGTGAGGGATGTGCCGGAATGTGGCGGGGTCACCATGCGAACCCTGCCATTGGGACTTTTGGTGGAGCTCCCTATGCTGCCACGAAGCGTGTGAGGGGTGTGCCGAAACGGCGCGGGGCCGCCATGCGAACCCTGCCACTGGGTCCTTCTGTGGAGCTCCCCATAGGGCCATGGAACGTTTGAGGAGTGTGCCGGATTGGGGCGGGGCCGCCATGTGAACCCTGCCACTGTGGCCTTCGGTGCAGCTCCTATGAGAGCCACGAGGCCGCCATGCGAACCCTGCCACGGCCTTTGGTTGGGTTCCCTTTGGGGCCACGAAGCGTGTGAGGGATGTGCCGACATGGAGCAGGGCCGCCATGCGAAGCCTGTCACTGGGGCCTTCGGTGAAGCTCCTAAGGATGGGACCACGAAGTATGTGAGATGTGTGCCGAAGCTGATGGAGGCGATGATACGATGATGATGACGACGATGATGCTGCTGATGATGGTAATGGTGATGGTTATGACAACGGAGGCCGCCATAGTGATGATGATGCTGATGATGATGATGATGATGATGGTGGTGGTGATGATGATGATGATGATGATCAGAATGACGGTGATGATGACAATGATGACGGCGATAACGCTGATGTAGATGGTTCTGCTGAATATGGTAACGATGATGGTGTTGATTAGACGACGAAAATGCTGATGATGATGGCACTGATGGTAGTGATGACGAAGATGACGGCGATGAGGCTGATGATGGTGATGAGGTTGGTGCTGATGTTGTTGTTGCTGATGATGATGGTGATGATGATGATGGTGATGATGATGATGCTGATGATGATGATGTTGATGCTGAGATGATGCTGATGCTGATGCGGAGACGCGGGGGGGTTCTCAAAACGAGGACCCAACACCACATGATGGTCGGGAAAGACCGTTTCAGGGATGCCGGGTGAGCCTTCGTGGGAGGCTCTATGGACCTCCGCCGTTGTATCATAAACGCGATGTCGACCAGAATTCGTCCATATTTCGACCATCCCTCGCCACTTTTTCGTCCAGAACCGTCAAGAATTCGTTTGTACTTCGCTTCGATGTCCACCAAATCCGATGCAGTTCAAACGGAATACCCAAGAGTTTCAAAGGCACGCGCCGCGGTAAACCATCACTTCGGGCCGTCTGGCCCAGTGATGACTGCCTCATCGCTCCCCACCTGCCGCATCCCTTCGCTCCCGTTCCTGCTCTCTCCTCCTGGTCCCGCCCCGTCAACACCTCTCTCTCTGCGGAGGATGGACGAGGGAGGAGAATGCGCCCCCCGCCCCCCCAAGGGCAAAAACAGCATCAAATGGCACGCCGCCGTGGAGTCCACTGGCGAAGCAGGAGAGACCAAGCCTCCACGCTGCGCATTTTTGTTGTTGGTCGCGGCCGCGAGCGAAAGCGCAGGCGGCGAACAGGGTGTCCGGGCCGACGGGCAAGCCGAATTAGCTGCAAGGCGCAGCGCGAGCCGGCCGGGCCAGCCCTCAGAGGCAGCAGCTGCGGCAGCGGCGGCGGGGGGCTGGTTGGCTGAAGTGCAACCCCCAGGGAAGCTCGAGCATCATGCAGACCTGTGGCAACATGCCAGGGAATTCAGTGCTGTGCGACGCGGCGCCGGTCCACCACGGCGTCGGTGCTATATCGAGGCAGACAGAGAGTGGCCACCGCGCACTATCCGCACAGACACTGTAGCGGGGGAAGGCTAGGTTCACACTGGTCATGTCGCCAGAGGGCGCCAAGGGCCAGGGCCGCGTCAACGGCGTAGACCTGCCTGGTCGGGTGGGACACGCTGCGCATCTGCCAGAAACATCGCCCAGTCCCGTGAACGTCTAATGGTCTGCGAAGAACTGCTGGCGATGAATTTGTCGCAGCGGGTCCTGGCAAGACCCACGAGTGCTCCCGCCGACCAGCCCATGCGACCACGCGCCCACGTTCCATGCTCGCCTTTGGTCGAGCATGCCCCCATACGGGGGGGAATTTGGACAAAAAACAAAAACGATGCAAGAAATTAACAGAACTAGTCTCTATGTGTATGTGTATATATATATGTATACTAGAACCACGCGCGCGCTTCGCGCGCGCTTAGGTTCTGTCGAGTCACAGACCCAGGAATCGTTGTGAGAAGAAATTGGTGACGCGAAGCGTCGTGGGGGCGTCCTTGGACGTCTGGGGTCTCCTGGGGCCTCTTGAGGGGCCTCCTGGGGGCCTCCTGGCGGCCTCTTGGGGCGGAAGGCTCGAGCTTGCGGTTCGTGGTCCCCCTCTGGGCCCCCTCTTGGGCCCGTCTTGGGGCCCTCTTGGGCCATCTTGGGCGCCTCTTGGGCCGTCTTGGGGCCCTCTTGGGCTGTCCTGGGGCCCTCTTGGAAGCTTCTTGGGCCGTCTTGGGGCGGTCTTGGGCGCCTCTTGGGCCGTCCTGTAACGTCGGAAAGCCCAAAAGACAACTTTGTTGAAAATGTACGTTTTACGAAGGGAATGGGCCAACTTTTGCGTCTAGGGGCCCTCTTGGGACGCATGTTGGAGGCTTCTTGGGGCCTCTTGGGGGCGTCCTTGGACGTCTGGGGTCTCCTGGGGCCTCTTGAGGGGCCTCCTGGGGGCCTCCTGGCGGCCTCTTGGGGCGGAAGGCTCGAGCTTGCGGTTCGTGGTCCCCCTCTGGGCCCCCTCTTGGGCCCGTCTTGGGGCCCTCTTGGGCCATCTTGGGCGCCTCTTGGGCCGTCTTGGGGCCCTCTTGGGCTGTCCTGGGGCCCTCTTGGAAGCTTCTTGGGCCGTCTTGGGGCGGTCTTGGGCGCCTCTTGGGCCGTCCTGTAACGTCGGAAAGCCCAAAAGACAACTTTGTTGAAAATGTACGTTTTACGAAGGGAATGGGCCAATTCTTGCGTCTAGGGGCCCTCTTGGGACGCATGTTGGAGGCTTCTTGGGGCCTCTTGGGGGCGTCCTTGGACGTCTGGGGTCTCCTGGGGCCTCTTGAGGGGCCTCCTGGGGGCCTCCTGGCGGCCTCTTGGGGCGGAAGGCTCGAGCTTGCGGTTCGTGGTCCCCCTCTGGGCCCCCTCTTGGGCCCGTCTTGGGGCCCTCTTGGGCCATCTTGGGCGCCTCTTGGGCCGTCTTGGGGCCCTCTTGGGCTGTCCTGGGGCCCTCTTGGAAGCTTCTTGGGCCGTCTTGGGGCGGTCTTGGGCGCCTCTTGGGCCGTCCTGTAACGTCGGAAAGCCCAAAAGACAACTTTGTTGAACATGTACGTTTTACGAAGGGAATGGGCCAATTTTTGCGTCTAGGGGCCCTCTTGGGACGCATGTTGGAGGCTTCTTGGGGCCTCTTGGGGGCGTCCTTGGACGTCTGGGGTCTCCTGGGGCCTCTTGAGGGGCCTCCTGGGGGCCTCCTGGCGGCCTCTTGGGGCGGAAGGCTCGAGCTTGCGGTTCGTGGTCCCCCTCTGGGCCCCCTCTTGGGCCCGTCTTGGGGCCCTCTTGGGCCATCTTGGGCGCCTCTTGGGCCGTCTTGGGGCCCTCTTGGGCTGTCCTGGGGCCCTCTGGGAACTTCTTGGGCCGTCTTGGGGCGGTCTTGGGCGCCTCTTGGGCCGTCCTGTAACGTCGGAAAGCCCAAAAGACAACTTTGTTGAAAATGTACGTTTTACGAAGGGAATGGGCCAATTCTTGCGTCTAGGGGCCCTCTTGGGACGCATGTTGGAGGCTTCTTGGAGCCTCTTGGGGGCGTCCTTGGACGTCTGGGGTCTCCTGGGGCCTCTTGAGGGGCCTCCTGGGGGCCTCCTGGCGGCCTCTTGGGGCGGAAGGCTCGAGCTTGCGGTTCGTGGTCCCCCTCTGGGCCCCCTC